AAGAATAGCTCCCAATTCGCTGACCGCGTTACACCACCCGAATTCTCTCGACAGCTCACCAGATCACCCAGGCACGGACCAAGGGAGATCCTCGCTTGCGACACGTCGAAGGGGATGAGCTTTCCTCAGCCGAAGCGACAAATCTGAGGAACAAAACCTGCTGCAGCTGGGTGTCCCCTTTTAGTGGAGGTTCATCACTTTGGAGGGGCCCATTAGTAGGATGGGTTTATTTCTTCGGGGTCAACATCGGTGAAAAACAACCAAACAAATGCTGGTTGTGCCATCTTTGGAATCGGACTTCCCCAATGGCTTCGGCTTTCCTTTTCGTTTCCCTTGTTTACCACCAAAAAAGGGGGCACCCTGCCGCGTGTTGTCTTTATTACGGGGTGTTTGTCAAAATGGTGGCCCAAAAATGGTTGGTTCAGGTGCCGATGGATTGGTTTGCATTGGTGACATTGAACCTCTGGTAGGTAGATGGGAAACCCGGCCATGAACTTGCGGCTTGCACCACTGAAACTGGATCCTCTTGTGGGCAGATGGGAAACCACACCACACCGGGCTCCAATCCCCCAACTGGAAGGAAGCTAATACTCCCATTTGCTCAAGCCCAGACATTTTTTCCAGTAGTGATAGAGTCCCTTTAAAACCAGCAAGGGAGAAAAAAAGGCTCATTTCAGCAAATGGAAAAATACATTATAAATACCGTGGATGGTGGGAACAATCTATGCCAGGGTAAACCCTCCTTCCCCAAAAAGAATCCCCAAACAAATTGTCGCCTGGTCCCTAGTTTTGAGGAACCCCCTGACGAGGAGAAAATTGTCGCCTGGATGGGTCCCTTGCGTTTTTGGAACCCCCTGACGAGGAACCGAAAACGCAGATGGTTCGTACGATGGGCGCTGCCTTCAAAAAGGACAGCGTAAGCATTTGTGGGTACTAAGGGGGTCCGGAAAACAACAATAAAGATACACGTCCCTTGTGGACTCCCTTTTAGGTAAACTAACAATGGCATCCATTAAGCACCCAGACTCTGATCGTTCGTTCTTCAGCCCAACAAGCAAACAAAGCGAAGAAGCGAAAGACGCACACAGGTCTTTCGATAGAAAGCTCAAATGTGTCGTCCCCTTGCCAGAGGGCAACTTGACCACCCCTATGTTGACACAGAACCAATTCGGGTGGCATGAGGGTGCTTCGCAACAAAAGAATCGCGCCTTCAAAAAGGCTTGGCTTCGATTTGGTTGCCCCTTGATTTATAAACACCAACCAAAACTCACCCCCGATCAATTGCACCGGCCCAGCAAAGCCCAAACTTTTGTCTGCCACTGCAATGGTCTTGCCAAGAAGTGACTAAAGTCCACGAACTCAGGAAGTGAGAAAAGGGGGTCCACGATTTTGACATAGGTGTCCATGGAGAAAACTACAGTGCCCTGGTACATGCGTAATAAAACATATCTAAACCAGTGGAACCCATCTACTTCTAACCAAACTCAACGATCAACAGGACACCTATGCACCTGAACTCGGTTGCTTTCTGCTCCCCTGCTAAAAGTTTAACTTTTAGTGGTTTAATACGGAAAACCCATTAGTTGGCAAAAGTTAAAGTCCTAACAGCCCTTGGCAAAATGCACCAGAATCTGAAGCTTTGGTGGATTTGGGGCATTTTGGGATTCTTGAGGATTCCCAGGGAAACTACTTCTAACCAAACTCAACGATCAACAGGACACCTGAAGCTTTGGTGGATGGTGTTGGGAAATCATTGAGGATCCCAAAACCATTTCTGAGGGAACTTCCTCCCCTTGGACCAGAAAAAACTCCCGGCATCGCCTTCCTCAAGGCGAGGCGCGGAGCACGATGTCCACGGCCTGCAAGGCCTCGTTGCCCTGGAAGTCGCTGGCGCCCTGGCCGCGGGGCGAAAACGTCGTCGAAGTCACCCAAACGTGGGGAACTCCTGGCTCCTCTCGGTTGCGAACTCTGCTCCCCTGCTAAAAGTTAGAACTTTTAGTGGTTTAAGACGGAAAGCCCACTAGTTGGCAAGTTTGGTGCTTCCCAAAAAACGCCAACGCCACGGGCAAGGCATGATTGGGTCTCTGGCTTGGGAGGTGTTTTTCTTTTTCCGCCGCGCGATTGAATCCCTGGAAACGGGCGCACCTTGCCGCTGAAGCGCACCGAAACAAAGAACTGGATGCGTCGCACCAACCTTGGCTGCTGTTGACTCTGCAAAAGGGTCAGTGTGGGTCCAATAGAGACTCCACTGCTTCAACCAAAAAGTTAAAGTCCAACTAGCCATAACCTCAGCAAGCCGAGTTCTGGCCATCTACACACTAAAGATACTAATGAGCACATATACCTCAGTTTTTGCCCACCACGAAGAACAAAAAAAGAACATGCATCCCTACAAATGTAACACAAGGTCAGAGGAAAACCCCGAAATGGAGGTCTGGACGGCTGTCTTTGTCAAGCTAATTAAAGCTGACAGGCAGCAAGTGCTTGATGAAGACAGGCGTTGGAGCATCAAAGTCGTCGTACTCCTGACATGTCTCAAGGAGCCCATGCCTTAAGCAAGCTGCAATTGGAATTTGTCAGCTCCGAATCCGTTCCAAGTGGGGTTGTCTTTTTATGGGAAGCCAAAAAGGAAACCAGCAATTTGGGGGCTCCCCAGAAAAAAGAAAAAACAAGAAAAACAAACGAGGAAAAAAACAACAAACACATGTATATATATATATAAGAAAAACAAATGACGGAAAATCCTGTTCGATGCTGCGAACGGTGTCAGCGCGGCCTTTTTAGACTTTCATTTGGTTAAGACCCCCGAAAAAAATACAGTAGTGATAGATTCCCTTTAAAACCGACAGGGGAAAATACTCTTAATCAAATGGCAGTAAACTGAACCGACTAGTCTTTGTGCAGCTTGTGGGGTCATGGTCGGAACCTGGAGCGTTTAAGTACCCCGCCCCCAAAAGAACCGCAGCCGGTTTTGCAAGGCACGTCTCAATTTTTTTCGGAGCTTTCCCCGGCCCAAAAAACCAGTCTGAGCCTTTGCATTTGCTTCCCCCAAAAAACAGTCTGAGCCAAGAAGTTCGAAGCCCGCGAGCTCAGGATGAGATGTGGAAGTGAAGGGCAAAACTCGATCTAGGGGTAGCTTCCAAGTCCATTCTTCGGATCCCCAAACAAGCTCCCCTCAAACAAGAAAAGAACGCCCATTTTTGTATTTGTTGCTTCCATGTCCATTCTAAACCCAGGGATCCGAATCTTTTCAGGAGACCAGCAAAACCCGGAAAACACGGATCCGGTTTTTGGGAAAGAACGATGGTTGCAAAGAATGGAAGAGGAATCATCCTCTAGAATAACAGGCCCAGGCCCGCTCCGGACAGGGTGGCTCCCCGAGCACTGGATCTTGGCTGTCGCCCGCCACGGCTGCCATGAGCTGCTCCCCATCAGTCCTCAAAAGCGCGGAACCGAGCGATGAAAGCACTGGAGTGCCCAAAACTCGTTTCCTTTTGGTTCTATCAATATTGTTGTGAAGGTTTATATAGACCTTGCTTCTGTACTATAACCACCATACGACCAGGAAGTAGAACCGCCTACCACTATGGTTTGGGGCGCTTCTCGTGTTTGTGCTTGCCCTCCCATCCACTAAGTCACTAACATAAAACCTGAGATGGTTGTCGGTTGTTTCATGCCAACTCAAAAGGCTCGGTGAATGTTGGAGGAATCAGCAAGAATGCAAGACTTCATTCCTGGGTGAGGAGTTCTCCGAGAAAAAAACAAAAACAAACTGGGGTTTGGGGCTGTGGACACATTTACCACCTTGCCAGCTCAATGAAGCCCCATGCCATCCCAGCTACTTGACTCCTCGCAAAAATTTGCCCTGTCCAAGAGGATTTCCTAATGCCACGAAATGATCTCCAGAGTTTGCTCACAATGTCTTGGGCATGTTGCTCCAACTATACCCTCCCGCCAACTAACTAACATGGAAGTGCAAAAAGGCCCTTTCCAAGAGGAAAGTAGTCTTTCTACACAGGGGTCTGTGCACTTCCATGTTTGCTGGTGGGAGGGTAATTGGCAAACCTGGGTCGCTCGCAGCGAGCAAATCATTGGCCACAAGAAATGTGTGTTCCAGGCAAGCCGCAGACTCATTCTGTGCATCAGCTAGGGTTGACCTGCTTGAAACAAAACACAACTCCGCTTTCTCTTGGGGTATGGCTCTACACAAGTAGAAAGACAAAAAGGCGGGCGGTGGCGACAAATGCATCACTCATATATCAGTGAGGTTGCTCAAGTGTGACGAGACACGTGGCAAGTGTATGGCAAATCTAAACTGTATGACAAGAGGGCGGCTGCCACATTTAACAAAGGTTACGGCTGGCAACCAATCAAAGTAGAGATTCATGCGTCCAATTCGATGCCAGATATCGAAGAGGCTCTGCAAGATTGTTTGGATAAGTAAGACTTGCTACATGTTCTCAAACAACAGTGGTTGCGATGAAGCTTGGTCGAAAAGCCCTTCCGCATATCAAACAACTGAGACAGAACCAGATAGTCACACAGACAGGAAGTCAAAATACGACAGACAGACAGGAAGACAGACAGACAGACAGACAGACAGACAGACAGACAGACAGACAGACAGACAGACAGGCAGGCAGGCAGGCAGGCAGGCAGGCAGGCAGGCAGGCAGGCAGGCAGGCAGGCAGGCAGGCAGGCAGGCAGGCAGGCAGGCTGGCAGGCAAACAGAGAAAGAGAAACAGATCGACCGAACGAACCAAAGAGAAGACACACACAAACAAACAAGACATACAAACACGACAAACAAACAGGACAAACAAGAACCCACAAAAGAAGACAGGACAAGACGGGGCAAGATAGAACAGACAGATATAACAAAGAGAAACACAAAGGCACAGAAATTTTTGACAGAGACGCAGAACACGAACTAAAAAACTGAGAGACAGACACGGAAAAGCACCCGGCGGCACACACACACAAACACAGACAGACAAAGAGACAAAGAGACAAAGGCGCAGAGAGACAGATAGAAAGACAAACAGAGAGACAGAAAGACAGAAACAAACAACAAACAGACAGACCAAACCAAACCAAACCAAACCAAACCAAGCCAAACCAAAACCAAACCAACAAACACACAAACAAAATCAAAGGACAGTCAAGCAGACAAGCAGACAAACACGCAAGCAAGCAAGCAAGCCAGCAAGCCGGCGACCGAACGAACGAACGCACGAGCAAACCAAAGCCCAGAACCAGCCCCAAACATTTGCTCCTGTGGGTTCCCCTTTAAAGCCCGCGCAAAAAGACGGAGAAGGACCAACTCAAAAAGCGAACCCCCACTTACAATAAAACCTTCTTGGGGGAATCAGATCCCCAAAAAAAAACCTTCGGTCTTGCTGTTGGTCTTCCTTCTTCCGTTCAGTTTTCTTTCATAGAACCACAAAAAGGGGCTAAACACCTAAGGAACCGCGCCAACCGCCCAGCCCATGCCACCCATCCACTCCCATCCACTCGACCCGGTCCTCCAGTGCTGCTTCAGGGACCGCAAGGAGCTCAAAAAGGGCACCAGAGGCTCCGCGCGGCGCAGCAGGTCCAGCCCAAAGAGCGCCAGCCTCAGCCGACTGCGGCTGCGGCGTTTTTTTTTCTCCAGCGCCTTGGGGGTTCATACAAAGGAAACAAAACAAGGGAACCCCACAGCCGGGCATGTTTGTTATATACAAGAACAAATAAGCACACCATTGTATTTGTTGTTCTTCCCCTTTCTTGTTTTTGTTTTTTGTTCTGTATACAAATAAGAAAAGATCAGGAAGACATAGTTGTTTGTTGTTACTATTTGTTCCTGTTGTTTTGGTTGTTTGCTTCATTCTTTGGGGCGGGGGGAGCAAAGAAACCAACGCTGTCTGTGTGTGTGTGTGTCTCTCCTTCTTTCTTTGTATTTTTTTGGGGGTAGCCCAATTTTGAAGGCCATCACACAAGGAAGAGTTGCCTTATGATCATGTTAGACTTTCCTAGAGCCAGAAATAGCTTTGTAGATGTATAGCCCTTTTCGCCTGGGCTGGTTTCTTGGAGAGCTTGTTGAGCATAGCTTTCGTAAGGAACACCAAAGGAAACCGCATCTGCACTTCCATAGAAGTGACCAAAACAGAACACGTCCGGGGACTCTTGTCTTCCAACGAGGGTCGGCTGAGCTTGTTCTACTCGCCTTGACAAAGGCAGATGTGGCTTGGAGCGTGCCAACCTGGAAGAGAATGCCTTTTGAATCTTCATATTCACACCTTATTCTTACTTATATCGCGCCAACTTGAATCAACAAGAAGCCTATCTTCACAATCACATCTTGGGTCGAGAACACCATAGGCAGCTCCCACAGTTTGCTCTGAAAACAGTGAGAGACATTCCGGGCTGCTCTGACGTCCCTTACAAGGGCGGATCTCTGGGTAGCAAAATTAGGACACCATTGTTTTTACCATGTGTAGTTATTGCTGTGTTCGGAGCGAGTAAGCTTGGCATTCGGAGCATGTGCCAAAATAAGGGGACCCAAAGAATGGTCTTTCGTGCGCCTTTTGGTTTCCCTTGATATCAGCCTAAAAAGGTACCAACTCAAAAACAAAATACGCGGAATGACGCACAAATGCTCAGCAACACCCTCTTCACCTTTTTCTTTGATCTCCCCACTTGAAATGGTCAACGCAAAGAGGGTCAACAAAGATTTCCCTGCTGCGAACAAACTCTTACACCAGTTGGGATGCCTATGATTTCTACAAAACAGTTTGGATGTTGCTTTTGTGGATCCACCCTTGTAGTATGTTAAAAAGAGTACGAAAAGAGTAATAAAAAAAGACCAGGGGGAAGCACAGGTGAAATTTCAACAGAAAGCGCAAACCCAACCCGTTTTCTAGAATAACATGGCACTCCAAAAGCCCGTGATCTGCAGAGGAAATTTCTATGATCAAACGGGGCAACGGAACCGCGAGCGGATGCCGAGTCGCTGGAAGGAGCTAAGGGTATCTAGGCGCAGCTCGATCGGCTGCACATCCTCAGAAACTTGGCGCCGGCTTAGGGTTGCTTAAGGGAAGCCAGCAGGAAAACGACACCAGGTTCATTTTTTGCGGAAGCCAGTAAGAACAAAACACCAGGTTCAGCTTTTATTGTGTTTGTGTGTTTTGGTTTTGGGCTTGGGAATGTTCAGCTTCGTCTTTCTTTCTGTTGCTTGGGCTCGGGGGGCGGGGGGGGGGGGGGGTTTCACTTTCCAGGAGGTCACTCTGCAGACGTGCCAGCATTGGGGGTGCTGCTTCACATTTTGTTTTTTCGTGCTGATTCACATTTTTTGTTTCTTCGTGTTTGTTTCTTTTGGGGGGGCGTTTGGTTCAGGTGGATGACAAGACTCACTTGCGGAGTGGATGGCCCAAAATAGTCCAAACTGTATACTTACCACTAAAACGGTCTTCCCAATTTGTTTAAAGTTCATGAACTCAGGAAGTGAGAATCTCGCCCCCTTCTTGGGGGTTGGGGGCCGGGGCGGGACATAAACACTCGACGTGTGGAGGGCATCGTTGTGTATCATGAGTAGGTTGAGGTTGGCAGGGAAGCAAAATTTAGATTTGAGCAGTTAAGTGGATTTGGATTTCAACCACTCAAGCACAATAAGCAACAATGCAAAATCTTTGCCACAACAACCATGATGAGTGGCGATGTTTCGAACACTGCCATTGTGCGGCCTCAATACCCCAGCTCGCTTCAATAAAGCTTTGTCTCCAAAGGGGAACCTCAGCATGCGTGGTCTTCCAGTGGCTTCCATTTAGACCAACCCCAAACAAGGCAACCCCTTGAAACGACACTTCTCTGGGATGCCCTTTCCCCAAACAAATGAGAAACACCTCGCTGCTTCCACGCCCGTGCTCTCGAGAGAGCACATGTCATCTCCAACAGCTTGGCACTCCGAAGGCTCCAGAGGGCCTTTACCAAGCAGACTTGGCGGGAAACGGAATCCACGAATCTGCGCTACAAAAAAAAAGGGCTTTCCAAAGACTAATCCCACAAGGGGGAGATTCCCACTTGGCTGTGGCTCAAAAAACCGGTGCCAAAATGGAACCCTGGTAAGTGGAAACATGGACCAAAACCTGCGTAACCCCTCCTGTTTAATTTTGAGCCACACCCACTTGTATCACAGAAGTGGTTGGATAAACCCCTTGATCCCACAACCCAACCAAGTCTTGCAAATGGGTCCCTTCAACAGCTTGGGAATCGCCAGGGGCTGGTGCCCAGCGAGCTCTCGGGGCTTCCAGCGGGGGTCCTGATTTTACAAAAACCTCCGTTGGCGGTTTTGTTGCGACATCGGCAGAAAACCTATTGAGCATGTTGTCTTTTTATTTCTCTTTTTCTTGTTTTTTTGGGGGGGAAATGGCTGGCGTCCTTGCCTCTTCTTTTCTTTTTTTGGGGGGGGGCCACAAAATGGTTGGTTTCCTTTTGGTTTCCCTTTGGCACCAACATTTAAGCTCAACAAAAAACACCAAAATGCCCCAAAGAAAAAAGGTGCCACACCCTTGGGTGCACTTATTCGCCCAGTGGCGATCTTCAAGCTCTCCACCTCGAAGTGAGCCGCAGGCCCTGGCACGCCCGGTGGATTTGGTGGTTTATGCCACGGGAGTTTCCTACAAACCAATTGGGGGTTCATACCAGGGGTTCGTTTCTCGGCATGTGCATAACTTGCTGGTGCGAGAGGTAGGGAATGTGACCCTTGATTTCCGTGAGGTTTAAAGGCCTCTGCTCCTATTAAAAGTAGTTATTCTCTCATTTGACGCGGGTTTTGGCTGCTCTTTTTTCAGCGTTCCCTTTTCATCCCCCGCATTGGTCGTGTGGATTGGTGGGCGGGAGGTGTCCCGGCTGAGGTGCTTTTTTTGCACAGCCTGGCCTGCATGAAAGGAGACACTCACAAACAAAGGTTTGGGGTGGGTTTAGGGTAGTCCGTTTAGGGTAGGTTAAGGCCCGGCATCGCTTTACCATCCTCAGCATTGTTTTCAACATCCTCAGCATCACCAGGCTTTGGTTGGCTGGGTTCAGGGTGGGTTCCAGGTTGGCTCAGGCTTGGCTCCGGATGGGTTCCAGGTGGATGGTTTGGTGTTGGTTTATGGTGGGGCTTCTTGGGGTTGGTCTCGGATGGGTTTGGGGCTGGCTTAGGGTGGGTTTAAAATTGATTCAAGCCAAGCCTGAGCCAACCTGGAACGATGTTGAAAACAATGCTGAGGATGTTAAAGCGATGCCGGGCCTTAACCTACCCTAAACGGACCACCCCAAACCTACCCTAAACCTACCCTGAACCCATTCCACACCTTCGTCCTACCGAGGCGCCAACCAACCAACCAACCAACCAACCAACCAAACCAACCAACCAACCCGACCGACCGACCGACCAACCAACCAACCAACCGACCAACCAACCACCAGGGTTAGCCCTGTTCCAGGGCTAAGCAAAAAAAAACACCCTTTCCGGGAGCCCCCCCCCAAAAAAAAGTGAGTGACCTTCAAAAATGCTGGTTTGCCTCTTGGTTTTCCTTTAAACCACACAAAAAAGGGTACCAACTCAAAACAAGACACACCCATTCAGCCTCCCTTTAATTGGTGGTTTGGATTGGCGGTTTGGAGTTTCCCATTTGCCCATGAGAATCAGGGGTCCAAATCGCCAGCTCCCACCGATCCAAACGCCAAGAAAAATACGCTTTCGCCTGGGCTGCGCTTTCCCCCCAACAATGCCTTCTCACTTCCTGAGTGGATTGGCCAAAGAAAGTCCATTTGTTTGCCACTAAAGTGGTCCAAGCCCAAAAAAAGACCAAAGTCAAAGCAAAACAAACGGAACTCAGGAAGTGAGGCTTCGACTTTCCTCTTTTCCTTTTGACTCCACAACAAAAGGGGTACCGAGGTTTCTAAACCCGCCGCCTGCGCCGCGGTCCAGCGCTTGCCACTTGGCGCTGCAACTCAGGAAGGGCAGCGGCCGCGCGCGGCCCAAGCCGCGCTTGGGCCGCAGCATGACGTTGCCTCGAGCTTTGGGCCCAGCCAGGAAGAAAGAAAAAGCATCTGAAGAATCTGAAATCGATTCCCTTTTAAAACCAACAACGCAGCTGTTCAGTGACCCTGGAAAAAAAGGGAACCCTTTTTTGGGAAGACCATTTTGTTTGGGATTCCCTTTTAAAACCAACAAGGGACATTGAAAGACCTGTTCACCCATGTTGGGTACCTGCGGTGGACAAAACCCTCCACCAGCGCATAGGTGGTTTAACCCGTGCTTCGGTTCAGGGAAAGTTTCAGTACTCTATGGCCGTGGGGATTTGGAGGCACATGGGGACTCTCCAAGTTCCTTCAAGAACCAGGGCACCAGAGGGTACAAGCAGCGGGGATTTGGACCAAACATCGGGACCCTCAAAGTTGAGCCGTGCCACTTAACGTTGGTACTTTGTGTTTTCAAGGGAGACTCCAGAAAAAAAGCTCACTTCCGATCGAGTGGATTGGCCAAATAAAGCAACCAAACTGTTTGTCTACCACTAAAATGGTCCAACCCCAGAAAGTGTAAAGTCCAGGAACTCGGGGGAGTGAGAAATCATGGGTTAAACCACCTATGCGCTGGTGGAGGGTTTTGTCCACCGCAGGTACCCAAAATGGGTTGCCCGATCGGTGAATGGAAACAAGGACAAAAACCTGCGGTCCACATCCTGATTTTCACCCATGCCCAGGTGCCCCACCAGGGCACATAAATTGGTACCCAATCTCCAATTTACGCCCTGATGCGCCCTGCAAATGGGTGCATCTTTATTTAAGTTTGTCGGTCACCCATTGTCATTCAGGGAGTGGGCAGAAATAATACGTTCACTGAAATATGTTTCAATAATGATGATAGCGAAACCATCTCCTAAACGCGCCCTTGCTTACATTCAACGAGAAAGCTGCCGAGTACAGGCACCTTAGTGGTGCTACGCCTCGGACTTGTGGATGTTCGGAATGCGCCTCCGGTCTCTGACCCCATAAGGAAGGGTCTCCCCCTCTGCGTTTGTCTTTTTTTTCCTGGGCTGTTATGCAACCCGCAAGATCCTTGCCGGGGCTACGACAGGATTCGGTCGCCTTTGAACCGTGGCTTTGCAAGAGGAAACATAGATCAACCCGTTCAAACGGCTCAGGTGTTAATTCATCCTTGCTTGGACTGTGCCTCCAAATTAAACTTTGGTTCGGCCACTCCAGTTGAAACTTCTCAGCCCTTTAAGCCGGACCTTGCGTGCCACTCTGCCGTTGGACAGATTTGCAGAGTAGTGCATATCCCAGCAGACGTGATTGAGGCACAGACACGAAACTACTTGCGACCCAATTTGGTTTTGCATTTCCCCCCAATACTTTGCCTAAGCAGACACCGTTCCCCCCCCCCCCACTGATTCGGCGTGGATGCTGCGCCATTGGGCGCCGTCACGGACATCCAGCTGCAGCGAGCCCAGGCACATCTCCTGTGGGTTAAGTGGGTCACACGGCTGCCCGAAGATGTGGCTGGGTTTCCGAATTCTGGGCTGCCCGCTTTCGGATCCCCCCGAACAGTTTTTTTTTTTTAACTTTTAGTGGTTTCCGAATATGTCCAATTGAACGCCCAAAAAGGGCAACCTCGAAAAAGACAGAGACACAGCTTCGGATGGGTGACATAGGGGTGGTTTCCAAAGTTCCTGTTCTGGGCTGTTCTCAGATCCCCCCAAAAGTTGTTTAACTTTTAGTGGTTTAAATGGAAACTACAACTGGTGTGGTTTCCTTGCGTTCCCTGCCAGGAGAGGTTTCGACCCAAGGCTGTGGTCGTTGCGATTTCTTGGCCAGTTTCCAATTAAAAAACCCACCTCCAAAAAAAGAAAGGGACAGCTTCGGAGGTGTGACATAGGGGTGCTTTCTAAAGGGAACTTTGGATAGTTCAAAACATCCCACTTGGACCAAGATGAACATTGCTGCTAGGTTTAGCTCCACAAAACGGTCGCCTGGATGACACAAACATCCAGCCACACGGGTTGTTCAAAATTGAAGAAGTCGTTTGGCCGTTCCATAGAGGGTTTCACTTGGTGGCTCAAGGGGTAAATGGGAAACCGGCCTAACCCCCCCCACCTCCAACCCACCCACCCAAACATTCACGGGGAAACTGCGTAGGTCACATTCACAGCTTGCTCCCTGGTTTGGATTCCCGGCAAACAGGTCACTTAGGGATCGCTCAAACGGTTCACTTAGGGATCACGGTCACTTAGGGATACACGCTCACTTGAGGATCACATTCACGGATCACTTAGGGATCACATTCATTGATGATGGGGGTGGGGAGGGGGGGGGATGATAAGCACACCCGCTCAACAGCTGCAGACCAGCCTGCTCCTTTACCGGATTACAAAGTAACTTGGCTCTGGGGAGGGGGGGGGATGATAAGCACACCCACTGAACTGCTGCAGACCAGCCTGCTCCTTTACCGGATTACAAAGTAACATGGCTCTGGGGAGGTGGGGGGTGATAAGCACCCGCTCAACAGCTGCAGACCAGCCTGCTCCTTTACCGGATTACAAAGTAACATGGCTCTGGGGAGGGGGGTGGGGGGGGGGGGCATGGTAAGCACACCCGCTCAACTGCTGCAGACCAGCCTGCTCTGTTACCGGATTACAAAGTAACATGGCTCTGGGGGGGGGGAATTGTGGGGGGCATGGTAAGCACACCCGCTCAACTGCTGCAGACCAGCCTGATTACAAAGTAACATGGCTGTGGGGGGGGGGGGGGTTGGGGGGTGCATGGGAAGCACACCCGCTCAACTGCTGCAGACCAGCCTGCTCTGTTACCGGATTACAAAGTAACATGGCTCTGGGGAGGGGGTGGGGGTGGGGGGCATAATAAGCACACCCGCTCAACTGCTGCAGACCAGCCTGCTCTTTTACCGGATTACAAAACAACATGGTTCTGGGTGGGGGGGTTTGGGGGGGGGGTTTGGGCGGGGGGATGATAAGCACATGCGCTCAGCTGCTGCAGACCAGCCTGCTCGTTTTCCGGAATACAAAATAACATGGTTCTGGGGTGTGGGGGTGGGGGGGTGCTTGGTAAGCACACCCGCTCAACTGCTGCAGACCAGCCTGCTCTTTTACCAGGTTACAAAATAGCATGGTTCTGCGGGGGGGGGGGGTTGGTTTCGGGGGGGCATGATAATGTTCATCTCTTTCTGGTGGTGGGGGGTGGGGGGGGGGGGGGATGATAAGCACACCCGCCCAACTGAACCAGCCCAGCCTGCTCTGTAACGAAATGGGGGCATGATAAGCACAACCGCTGTACTGCTTCATCCCAGCAAATGCATCTCTTTCTGGGGGTGGAGGGTGGGGTGGGGGGGATGATAAGCACACCCGCTCAACTGAACCAGCCCAGCCTGCTCTGCAACCTAATGTGCAAATTCATCGGGTTCTGGGGCATACGCCGCAGGGCATACATGTCAACACGCATGCACACAACCACATACATGGACTCGCCAGCATACATAGTAACATATGTCATGAAACATACACGTCACATATGTCATGCGATATACACGCCGACAAGCACAAACAAGCGCATACATGCTCGCGCATGCGCGTAGTATATAAACATACATCGCGAGCAAACATATCAACACGCATGCATGCGCGACAAGCCTTCTGCAAAAAGCGATCCCGGAGCGATCCATTTGCGCGATCCCTAAGCGAACCATTCGCGCGACGCCTAAGCGACCCACTGCCCTGGATTCCCGCCCTATTCAGATGACTGGGCACCAAAACAAGAAAAATAAGTGTAGACTTCTTGGGTCGTTACCAAAATGAAGAACTCAGCCAGAAGTCCAAAGTTTGTCAACTGGCATTGTCTCCAAAACAAGAACCCCTCCCCACAAAAGCGGAGGAGTGGTTTCAGTTGCAGCTCACCCGCTATCACAATCCTTCTTTGGGTAGTCAAGAAGGGGAACTACCGACTGAACAAGCCTTTAAGCGGCGGACAGCAAACGACTAAATGATTGCGCCAACTTCGCGTCGACTGACGACTCGCTCCATCTCCCGGGCGGCATCGTCTCGGACCAAGCTCGCGACCTGGGACACGGGGTATTGAGGGTAACCGGTGCCTTGCATTGTGTTGTTTGTTGCTTTTTGAACAAAGATATAATTGGTTGTCTCTGTTTTTTTTTACAAAAAGACATAACTGTTTGTGTATCTTTGTTTTGTTTTACAAAGAGACACAATTGTGTGTGTGTGTTTCTTTTTTGTTTTGAACCAAGATACATAATTAATTGAAAACAACACCCAAAGGTTTGCTAGAAAAAGAAAAGCACAAGCGACAACAGTCAAAAGAGGACCCAGTAAACTTAAAAACAAATAGATGATCCTAGAACATGGAATAAAACCCCGTCTAAACCAGTGCCTTCTACTGCCAACCAAACTAACCTAAAATGGACACCAATGGTAGCCTGAAGCCGACGCCCTTTTCTGTACCCCTTTGGATACCAAAGGCAACCAACCATTTTGCAGAAGTTCTCCTAGGGAAACTCACAAAAGATGGAAAGCGGCCAAACGACAAAACGAATCAAGGGCCAGCGATAGAGGCGCGTGATTGAGCAAACAGTTCCTAAGCTTGTTGCTTGTCTGAGGCAATTCCTGCATATAGCAAAAGAATTGGTGAGTATGCCCTACTGATATAAACTCAAAATGCACTGCCCGAAATAAATACATCAGTGCCAGCCCCACAGAACAACGAGAAACCGACCCGAACATCTTCAAGGTTTCACACGTCTGGGCTCGTTCTATCAGACCTCACAACATCCTCACATCCCTTTTCAAGGGTCCACATTCTCCCAGTCTCCGCATGATGGTAGCTAGCCCAGCACTAAAACAGGGCTCCCTATATTTCCCCTAAAAACATCACACCCACCAAGGCATACTCACCTTTCATAAGCCAAAAAGGTGATGTTTAAAGCAACCAAGAAGGGACATATAGGGA